GTCTAAATTTAATTTCTGACAGACTGCATTCCAATTTTTCTCATAATTCTGGTCAATTAGAGAATTCCTTCTTAGGCAATTTATGTTTTAGAGTTTATAGTATACTAAGCTATTGAGGGGAATTATTTCTGATTTTTTCCATGTTTAATCTAGTACATTCATCTATTTTTCTATTTTTTTAACTAGTATCATTACTGCTTTATAATATAGTTTAAGGTCTGGAATGTTATTCCTCTTTTATTCCTACTTTCAATAATCTTTCTGCTATACTTTTTGATTTATCATTTTTCTGATTAGATGCAGCTGATAATGCAATGGTGCTGTGCTTGCCTCAGTTTCAACAAATGTAAAATGGAAATAATAACAGTACCTACATCAAAAGGTTATTGTAAGAATCAAATGAGATAATATTTGCAAAAAGCACTTAGCACAGTGCCTGGTACATACTTGGTGCTATGTAAATGCTTATTCCCTTTCTTTCCCTTCCCTCCCCTAAGAGGTCTCAAAAAAAAAAATCACATCGACTGAGACCCTTTTTTGCCACAATGAAAGAGACTACATGTACTACATAGAACCTTCACCGAATCATTTTGCCAGTACAGTCTAGATTTGCTCTTAGAAAGCATAGATTATGTACCATTCCCTTCTCCAAACTTGCTAACCCTTTCTCATAGATTCTCAGAGGTACTGTGTAACTGTAGTTAACTAGGGTTTATTGAAGAAAGCTAAATCTAGAGCCAGTGGGCATTTGGGTTTGCCTCTGGTCCTTCTGTAATGTCTTATCTACAGAGGAAGCATGCTTCTAATTTGCAGCTGAACAATAGTCATCTTTCAAAAGAACTCATTAATTTGTATCATATGAACATGATATTCTAGTACTTTTGGGAACTAAGTCTGAAGTGTATGAATGAAATCATTTGGGAGAAGAGGGAGCTGAGGGCCACTCCAAAGCTATCTGATCTATTTTATTACTTTGCTTGTTACCTTCCAGTGTGTAAGTGCAATATTTTGCTTTTGAAACCCCCAAGCTGGTATTTTTTCCTATTCTGAGTTCTCTTTACTTGGTATCCTTTGTGCACTGATTAGGATCATAGAGCCTTATGACTTGGACTTGGAAGGGGCCTTAAGGATTATCTAGCCATACCCCTTTTTTTATTAATTGTTTAATTTCAGAGCAGCAGTGAACCTACGTCAGTCTCTGTCTTGATCAGTTCTGATCCCTCTTCAGGTTAGAGCACGGGGAAGTCCAGGCTTAGGGAGAGGGAGAGGGCTTTGCCAGGTAGCAAAATGGAAAGGAAAAATAAAGCCAGCTCTTCTCCCCCACTCCCTACTGCCGCAGTCCCACCAGCATTATCAATTTCCCCCCATAGATGATTCTCCTATAGATTACTTTTAACGAATGAATCAAATGATTACAGTCCCATATGCTCAGTTAAGATTCTCTTAGCTAGGTGACAAAGATATTGTGATTGCTATTATTATTCTTGTGATTGTTTTGCTTAATTGAGTTTTCATTTATTTAGCGCATGGTGTGCCAGTCCTTGTATATACTACATGCACAAAAACAGAGATAAGGGAAAGCATCATAAAAACAGATAGGAGCAGAGCACACATGATGGGACTGTACCAGGGGGCCTTTGGGATCCAAGCAAGAGTGTTTTATAGGAATATGGCCTTAGTCATCAGGGACTATTTGCAGTGTTTCGCACCTCCAGCAAGAACAAGGGAGAAATAGTCTCAATTTCTTCTAAGAGATGGAGGGGTTTGTGGGGAGGGAAGGATGGGGAGGTAAGGTAATGAGAGAATCTGTCTAGTATCTAAGTTTTCACAGATACACTTCCCTGGGATTCTTTAAGCCGAAGCCGTTGTGTTGCAACCAGGAGGGTGACGCCCAGGAATAGGGTTTAAGTGTCTACTCTGCCGGCCTCCCTCACCTGGCTTCGCTCTGTCCGGGTTACCTCCCAGCTGGGTAACCTCCAGAATGAGAAGATCCCAATCCCTGGGACAAGGGTAGGCATTATTGTCTCCCGGGTTTCCTAGTTCCTCTGAGAGGAATGGATTCAGCTTCTGTTTTACTGGGGGGGGGGGGTGTCAACATGAATAAAGAATTTCCTCTGGATGGGCTTTGAACTCATGAAACGTGGGTCAGGGCCTTGAGAGGTTCAGATCTGTGCAATAGACATGCTTTCAAAAGGGAAGGGGGAGGAGTGCAGAAGTTTTGGCTTGAATCCTATCATTTGCATCTTATTTTGAAAGCCAAAAAAAGGAAAATAGAAAATTTTCCATATAGTGGTTAGGCTTTCAAATAATATTAATGGGTATGAATCAATTTCCTTATACAACATGGGGCAATGGTTTTCAAATTCCCAAACCCCCAAATTTAAAACTGGCCAATTGAATCCCCTTCAGGCTTCGGGGGCAGCTGTTCACCTGTCAGGTTGTCTTGTAGAAATTCCCTATAAAATCCTGGCCTCTGGAATACCCAACCCCTCTGAATGTCAGGCCCATATGTGATATGGCTGGAACTAACTAGTCTCACTGCCTAGTCCTATAGCTCTAAGATGGGGCTCCAATGTTAGGGGAAAGTTATACACATTCATAGCTACCTCAATTTTCAGAGAGCTTGGAAAGGAAGACAACCTTCCAACTCACCTATCTACAAATATGATATTGTGGAAAGAGTACTGAACTGGATTTTCTTGGATTTAAGCCCTAGTTCTGTTACTTACTAGTTGTGTGACTTTGGACAACCCACTGGACCTGAGACTGGGCCCCCAAACTGAAAAACTAATAGTTGACCTCACTCTCTCGCAGGGTTTTGAAGATTTTAAATGAGATATAATTTTATTTTTTTCCCAACTAACAAAAATCAATTTTCTCTCACTCTCAACTCCTCCCCAAAATTGAAAAAGAAAATAAAAATCCTTGTAAAATATGCATAATCAAGTAAAAACAAATTCCTGAATTAAGAATCAACCAATTAGATCAGAAACAAATGTAAGTTATGGGATATTGTTATTTGGGGAGTAGTCAAAGAATAGGTTAAAATTTCCAATGATTTTGTGACCATTAAATGTCTTTCACCTCCTGGGCCTATGGTTGGAGTAAACTCTACCTTGCCTTGCCTTTCTTCAAGTTTCTGGTCCCTTTCTAACAAAGCGCAGCTCAGGTATGACTGTCAGACACATCACCACATTGGAGTTTATCCTTCCTCAATGCCACCCCCCTCCCCAGACATTGTCTTTGCCAAGCATGTTAGCACAGTGCTAGACAACTAATAGGTACTTAATAAATACTTAGTCAGTGACTGATTGAAGAACAGGAAGAATAAAACATCTAGTGGGTAATACATTAATTGTTCACAATGTTTGATGAATTCCTTTTTATTCTAGTTCTAGGTGCAGCAAATCCCCAGATAGCAATCAGTGTTTGAAAATGGTTAGTTTAGGAGAGTCACTTGGTCTGCCAATATATACTTTTCTGGAGAAAAATTTCTTTATATTATCTAAATTGCAAGATCCTTGAAGATCTTAACTGTGTGACTTCAGGCAGATTTTAAAAATATATCCCAACAAAGCCCAGCTCACTATCTTGTAGAGTAAGCTCAATAAAAATCATTGAGTGATTGATTTCATTTGGTGTTTTAGAGCACAGCAGAGAAAAGGTTCAATAATGTGGCTGTGGTAGTCAGTCCTGCATTCCCCTATCTTTGAACAATGGCTTAGAAGCAGCTGGTTCCTTACTCCAACATACAGAAATCACACAACTCAGATATCCAAGATCCACCAAGCTCTTGAACTAGTAGCCATTCTCGAAGAGAAGCCTCTCTAAAGCTACTAATCCCAAAGGCTTTCTGTAGTTCTCTCGGGAGTTCCCTCCTCCCCAAGTGTTCAAGGGAGCTATTCCTTCTAGCCCACTTCTCTCTCACCATTATTTCTCCATCCTCTGAAATAGTCACTCTAAGCACTCCCTTACCATCCATGAACAAGCCCTTTTCTGTTAAAGCAGGTGTTGTTGGATGCCTAAGGGAAGAACAACATTTCCCCTCAAATGCAAACACCTAGTATATAGCAAGTCTGAGAGGAGGAAGAAAAAAAATGAACAAGGGTGTGAAAAAATTGACACCAACCCCCACTTCAATCCTCACTTTTGCACCAGGGTTACTGGGAGCAGGTTGGAAAATATGTAGTAAGATAAGAGCTTAAGAATCCATGGGGTCTTGTGTCAAGAAGCTCAAAGTGAAGAGTCATTGAGATAACTTCATCCGCCTCTTTGCCTCCCCCCCTTTAACTGTGTGGCTCAAACTCACTGACCCTCACCTTGCTCATCTGTTAAAGAAAAAAAGTAACAAATGTCTACCGTCTACCTTGCATGGTTTTTCTTAAGGAAAGTGCTTTTTATTAAAGGAACTATATAACTATTTCTGGTACTTCTAAAAATTGTCCAGATTTTTAATTTCATTAAGGTAGAGAACCCACAGTGAGAGAAATGTCTATCAATGCAGATCAGCAATTACTCTGCGATTTATAGTCTTATAGAGAGGTTAAATGACTTGCCCAGGGTTACATAGTCAAGGATGTACAGAGGTGTTTGAGATAGATATCTATAGATAGAAATGTTTGAGACTTCAACTGAGGTCTTCTTGACGCTAAGACCAGTTCTCTATCACACCATGCTGCCTCTTGTCCACACGCATTATTAATAAACTGGCTAATTCCGAGCAAAGCCCACCTAAATTTCAGGCTACTGTGATCCGTTGAATTGGAGAGCTGGACGTGTCTGGCTAGTTGCCTCGATTGCTCAGTTCAGTTCATGCTTGCGCACACTTCCTTCACCTGTGAGTTCGCATCCTGTTTTTGGATAGGCATCTGGGCAAGGCACGCTCTTCTCCTCCACGATGAAGGTCGTTATTTTCTACCTTGAAGTTAGGCTCCTCCATTGCCCTCCTCCCACTGTCACCGCCCCCCTTCACCCCCTCCTACTCCCGCCCCGCTAGAGTGCTACAGTTTGGCCGGGTCCCCCGGAGACCGCAGGATGTCCTCCAAGCGAAGGTGGCAGATCTTGCGCACCTCAGCCAGGGCTGCGCGCAGCTCCCGGGCGGGCTGGTTGTGCAGTCGGCGCTCCAGCTCCCTCATCATAGTGGCCTTGTCGCTGAGCCGCGCCGCGATCACGAAGGGGAAGCCAAAGCGAGCCTTATACTCGCAGTTGAGTTCGCCCAGCCGGCGTCTCTCCTCTGGGCCCAGATTGCTCAGACCCGCGCCCCTCTGCTCCCGCTGGGACTCCGGGGTCAGCGTTGCCTGTTGCAGCTCCCGGCCCGCTAAATCTGGATGGCACCTCAGGATCCCTTCTTTCCCTGAAAGACATATAGGCCCCAAGTCAACTGCGCTGCCCGCCTCCCAGAACACGGCTCCCCCCCAGGCTGGCTTTAATCTGATTCCATAGGGCATCGATCAGGGAGAGTTGACTGGGGCCGGAGGGGAGGAAGGGATGGAGCTGAGGGAAGGGTGTCCTGGGATTGCGAAGAGGGAACACTTTCGGTAACGGATGAGCCTATCTCTTAAAATATTCCAGATCTCTCCTTCCTTTCTCCAGTGGTTTCAGTTCGCTCCAGGGGGAGGGGAGGGGGGGGAGTCTGCTATGAGGCATGGGGGGTGGGGTGGGGGTGGAAGGGCTGTGCTAGAGTCCTCAGAGACCTTCAGGCGGAACAGCCGGGGAGAGAGGACCCGGAATTTATGGCTTGCCTCGGAGCAGAGACTAGATAAGAAGCTCTGAACATGTTAGACCTTTTCAAAGCCGCTTCATAGGGGGTGATGGGGGGAGGTTGGGGACCAAGGTAGGGGGGTGGGGGGCTTTGATCTCGGGACAGAAGAGCCCATACTCCAGAATCAGATTGGATTTAACTCTGTTCCAAGAGGAATAGGGTCCGGGATAAAGCCTGACCTCGGCGTACCATCTTGAGGTATCTGATCAAACACGGGGCCTCTATTCCCCTTCGCAAATAAACACCCCAGGAACCTGTGATCCCAAGTGGCAGTTCTCTGTTTCTAGAATCAGACAGCCAAAGGGCAATGCAGATGATTAACTGCAACGAAACTTATTTCCAGCTTTAATTCTCTGGCCCTTTGAACTAAAGCCTGCTTTCCTCCTCCCAGAAGAGCTGCACCCTACTCCCTTGGCCATGCCCGCCCTTTCCAAAGATATCCCAGACTCAAGCTTCACTGGGATCTAACTGCCTCCGATCTTTTAAGGGTTAGAATCAATAGACATGAAATCGCAGGAATTTTTCATGTATTTGCCCTGAGGCAACTGGCTTGGCCTGGCCCTTTCTTTGGTGGCTCTGTGACACAGTTTGCACCTCCTGGAAAAAGAATATAAGAAGCGATTGATTAGGAAAGTGGAGTTAGGTTGGTTATGTTAGGACATAATGTACTGAACAGAGAACAAAGCAGTTCAATTTATTTGCTCATCTTCTTTAAGTTTTGGGAACCTGGGGTGTCCTTCAGCTAGAACGGCAGCACAAAAGCCCTGGCATTTTCTCTGATTTCAAATTAAAAATCTGTAGAGAAGGAGGTGGAAGAAATGAGGAATGGTGAAGACCAAAGATCATTAACAACTCCATTATTGTTGTTGTTAATACTGGCTGCCTTATTTATGAAAAACGGGAAGGGGAGGGGGAGCAAAATAGATTACAAAGAGAAGTTAACAAAAAAGGAAAATTTGGAGTGACTGCAACAGGATTATTCACTTAAAAGAAGTAACCATCGAATCTCTTTAAACAGATGGCTTCATCTGTGCATTTAAAAATAAGGTTCTATTTACAAACTTTTTTTTTTTTACAGACTGATGCATTTTACTCAGGCAAGATTTGAAAATTGCACACACCCCATCACTCCCGAGTTCTGAAATTCCGTTGTGACTCCAGAGGACATAAAATAAATACCCACCTGCCATGGAAAACTGAAATTGGGGGCATTAAAATACGTGGACTTATAACACTTAATAAAAATGTCCTTCCTTGAACATACTTCCACCCACGTGTTTCCCTTTAGGTGGCTGACTGCCTTTCCTATCCCTATGCCTTCCACTGTTCATAGACAACCTGCTCAAGAACATGTTGCTAAGAAAGCAAGATAAATCTGTATTGAATTGATGAATCCCCATCATTTGATGTTCTCTGTCCCGTAGGTCATAAATCACAAAGTGGAAATACAAAGAGTATAGGTAGCACCAGATATCACCCACTGTGTGAAGTACTGGATTTATTTGAACCAAACTTTGCTGTCCTTGAATTGTGTGGGCTAGATGAAGCAATGTATCTAAACTGAGCACTCAATGGCGATGCTGGGCTGGTGTGGAATGGAAGAGCCAGCCCTTTCTGGATCTAGCTTACCCTGGTTGATGATTGAGCATACTTTGGTGTAATGGGAGGGATTTGCCTTCAAAAAGCTTCAGGAACTTTTTTCTTTTTTAAAATTTTATTTTTATTTTCAGTTCCAAATTATCTCCTTCCCTGCAGCTGCTCTTTCACCCATTGAGAAGGCAAGAGACAGGATACTGGAAACTTTTTTGAAGCAGCCTCTTTCAGAACTCTAGTCAGAGCTACCCCTAGATAATAGTGCCCTGGAGGAGCCCCACTTTCCTCTCATGGTAAAATACAATGACTAAGCAGAATAAATGTCTTTCCTCTCTTCCCTTTCCCCTACCTTCTTATTTCTTGCCCCTTCAAGTGTCAGATTGGTCCATTGGTCTTTGAGGGTGTCAGTGGTGGAAATTCCTATATCTTGGGGTCCACTTTCCTTTTTCTCAAATTCTACCTTGGTTTTGCTTTCTCCATCCCCCCATATATTTCCTTTCTTTCCTTATCCCCTCTTATACTAGTTAATATATCTCCTTGTTAATATTTATTAAGAGTTGAAAATGTGTTCATCTGATACATACATATATGTATAAAAGAATATGCATGTGTATCCTTTTAAGCTCTTTCTTTTGGCATTTAACTTCATTTTCATTCCCTAGCTCCAGTTGACTGGCACAGACTCAAACAGATGGCAGTCACCACTTTAGCTTGTCCTGCTGCCAAACATCTGGCAGCAGCAATGCCTGGGGGCTGGAGTGGAGAAGGGAGCCAATCACCTGTTACTGAGTGTCCAGAGGCTAAAGAGGTCTTGAGAGGTAGTGTTACTGAATCACAGAGTATTAGAATTTAAAGGGTGCTTAGAAACTATTTAGCACAGTCTTATTTTACATTTGGGGAAATTAAGACCAGGAACTTAAACACAGGTCCTTTAACTCCAAAACCAATGCTCTTTCCCACTATTCTATTTCCCAAGTTATTGGCAGAAGTGGGACTAGAATTTAGGTCAATTCAGTTAGAGGATCATAGAATCACTGAGTTAAGGTTGAAAAGGGATCTTAAAGCTTATTTCACTCAATTCCTTTATTTTATAGATGGGGAAACTGAGGTCCACAAGGAATGTCTTACCCAAGGTCATACACAGTTATTATCAGAGCTAGGACTAAAATCCAGCCCATTGAATTTCAGTCTAGGACCATTTCTAGTATAACTCTGTCTGTAAGAAGAGTTTAGAGGAAAAGCTTTTTCTGGAGAAATCTCTAGGAGGACTTTCCTCCCTCTTGAGTGTCAGTTGCTCCCAAACCATAACTCCCTTAAGCTGCTTGAAGAAAAGAGAAGATTCATATAAGGACTAGGTAGGACAGTAGTAGGTGAAGTCTCTGAAGGGGCAGCAAAGAAGATGCCAAGAGAAAAGGGAGATATCACAGAGCAGTGAGAGGGAAAAGGAAGAAGAAGAAGGAGAAGAAGAAGAAGGCAGAGAAGGAGGAGGAGAGAGGGGAGGAGGAGGAGGAAGGAAGGAAGGAAGGAAGGAAGGAAGAAAAGAAGGAAGGGAGAAAGAAAGAAAGAAAGAAAGAAAGAAAGAAAGGAAGAAAGAAAGAAAGAAAAAGAAAGAAAGAAAGAAAGAAAAAGAACTCTTCAAATAAGGAAGCAGGTGAAGGAGATGAGAGATAGGAACTATAGAATTACCCTTATGACCAAGAAAAGAAAGATGGGAAGGGCACAGAAGAGAAGAGATAGGAGAGAGCAATAGGAGTGGGATAAAGAAGGACACTGGCCATATAGGGGCCCACAAGAAACTTGTAGCAAGCATATACTTGTTCAACCCCAACTCCTTGAGGAGGAGACAGACCTAGCATTTCCCATAAATTATTTTGCTATACTTACATAAATAGGAAGTTTCATTAGGGTACTCCTTCCAAAGATGCAGATCTCAACCCATCCATACCCACTTCCTATATGTCTCTTGTTAGTGTCCTCCCATAAATCTCCCACAGGCACCCACCCATCCTACTAAAGACTTTCTTTTAGATATGGTACTCTTTTGTGGATACCAATGAAACAAGGCATTCCCCAAGATGACCTAAGAGTACGTCCTTATTTCTATAAATGTCTAAATTTTCATAAGCTGCCTTAGACACTTTGCCACTACCCCATGTCACCCTCAAGTCCTGGAAAGCCCTGAGTCCTAATGACAATGCTAACAGAGGAAGTAACAATAAATCCAAATAGGTACCAGAGAACTAAAAAGGCTTTGGAGAAGTTGGTGTGACCCAGGGTTATAACTCCTTACCTGGAGCGTCTTGGGCTCTCTTTCTTTGTTCATTATCTCCCTTCTCTTGGAACATACTGATTCCATCTTCCTCATTTCCACCTATCAAACTATGCCTCTTCCTTCACAAAATCACAGAATTTAGACCTGGAAGGGGTCTCAATTGGACAACTAGTCCAATCCATACCTGAAAGTAATCCTTAGGATAGTTTCAACTAATGGTCATTCAGCCTCTGCTTAAAGACCTCCAAGGAGGGAGAACCCACCCACCAGCTCTTGAGACAGTCTGTTCCACTTTTGGGTAGCTGTAATTGTTAGGAAATTTTCCCTAAATTTTCCCTAAAATGGGCTCTTTGCAAGTTCTATAGACCCTTTGTTCTTGCTTCTGCCCTCTGGAGCCAAGCAGATCCCTCTTCCATCTGACAACTCTTCAAACACATGAAGTCGGCTATCATATATACATAAACACACATGCATATATATGTATATACATATATATGTATGTGTGTGTGTCCCCTCCAAATTTTTCTCTTCTCCAGGCTTAACACAGCTAGTTCTTTCAACCAATCCTTACATCACAGAGTTATAGATCCAGATCTGGAAGGGACCTTAGAGATCATCCTGTCAAACCCCTTCATTTTACACATAAGGAAACTGATGGCCAGAGGGTAAGTGACCTACCTAAGGTCATACAAGTAGTAGACTTCTGAGTTAGGATTTGAACCTGGGA